ACTTTTCTCACCAATTCATCCGAATTTTCAGAAAAGTGGTCACCGTTTGATCAAAATACAGTGGTGGGTCCTTTGGTAGTTCTTAAGTCGACCTATTATTACAGTTTATTGGTTAAGATGTTGTTTTGAAGCATCTTGCCCAGAAACTCTTAAGAGTCGTTTGGTGTCTGATCAGTGTGAGCTCTGAAACCACAATAGCAACAAGGACCCAGAAATTCAGTCTCTTTCAGAAAATCATTAAGAGTTTCCTTCTCAGAATTAGGACACCCAGATTAAAAAAAAAAGAGAGAGGGGGAAAGAGAGGGAGGGAGAGGGAAGGAAGAGAGGGTGGGGAAGGGCTGAAGGGAGAAGCTATGGTGATAAAGCTACCATAAATAAAGCTAATTTTTATTCATTACTTTAAATAAAAATGTATTTGTGCAAAATAAAAGTCACTTAAAAGTATGACAAGGAGTGACAGATGAAGGACATTGTTCACCTGAAGAGCTCTCAGCCGAAAGCAGAGCTCGGACCGTCGTCCCCTCCCCAGGGCTTTGCTCTCGTCACCATGGTCGTCAACAATTGTGCCCTTGGGCTGATGATGGAGAACTTGCTGGTGACTGTGTTTGGGGGCAAGAATGGGGGAGCTTAAGGCCTCAGTGTCACTCAGCTCCCCAGTGTAATCGAGAATCCCAGTGGCCCTGCCCTGGCAGTGGAGGCAAAGGGGTGAGAGGATGGGAGCAAAAGCCTTGCTCGGGGAGAGGTCGGTGCAAAGTAGCTTCTGAGCAGCCGGTCAGGTCACCGTGTGCGCAGGCGGCCTTGAGAAGCTGGCAGAAAGCATCACGACTTCCCATGCTGACCCGGGGGGCGGGGGGAGGGGTGAGAAGAGCGGGGCCTTCAGACCCTGCGGGAGTGGGGCTGGGAGGAAGCAAGCGGGCCAGTGCCGGCCCAGTCCACGGTCCCGAAGCTGGGTCTTGCCTCAGAAGAGCTGACGGCAACAAGGCCTGGGAGGGCCCCGGGGGCCCAGGGAGCAGGCCTTCTGGATGAATAGCACCCATAGGAACAGAAAACAAGACACAATTTAAGGCATTGTTTGTTTACAGTAAAAGAATGCGAGGGACCCTTAACACAGAAGGAATCTGGGCTCTCACTCTGACCTTCCTCGGTGGACCAGCCTATCGCTTAAGGTTAAAGCAGGGCCTCAAAGAGAATGAAGTGTGTGATGTCACGAGTCTTGTGCCAAAATGCATGTTTCTCGGAGAGTCCACGCTCGCTCGCTTGCACGCACACAGACACGGCACGCACACGCAGAGGACGCTTCGGGGTTGTACAAAATCTGAGGCAGCCCTGTGGGCGAGCGACCCGGCACACTGGAGCCAGTCCCCGCCTGTCCCTTCCCTCCAGCCCTCACGCGGGGGGCTGCTGTCCACTCTTTTGTGCAGGAGAAAGCACTGGGGACCCAACGTGGGACGGATGCTCTCTGGTCGCAGCAGCAGCTGGTGGACGGATGAGGGCCCAGGGAGGGAGGGCGGGTTGTACAGTCTGGGGACCCATCGCGGCCCCGTGAGGTGGTGCTGCAGAACGGGGGTCACGGGGGTGGCTGGGCATCGGCAGGTGGACCCCCGCACCGGTGGAGCCCTCTGGACTGTGAGGCCTCGGCCGTGTCCCCTTGAGTCCAGCTCTGAGTCTCCCAGCACCCCACCAGTCCCAGGCCGGCTCCCAGAGGCCTCTGAAGTCACGCTAAGTCCTGCAGAGACTTATTCAAATGACATAAGGTTTGCAGGTACCTAGAAGAGAAAGCTCAGCCTCTTGTCAAAGTTCTGACCTTTCAGGAGGGGACGGGGGTGGTCCCTAAGGGAAGGGTTCAGGCCTCTCCCAGTCAGTCTGTGAATGAGTGGGTGGTGGGGGAAGGGGAGAGGGCACAGCAGTGGTACCAGCCACCACGTGTTACGGGGCTGCTGTGTGCCAGGCAAGGCTCTGAGCACCACATCTGTATCGTGTCCTGAGTCCTCACAACAACCCCAGGAGGCAGGTACTGGAATTATCCCCATTAAAAAGATGAGGAAACTGAGGCTTAGAGAGGTGAAGTACACAGCGGGTGAGTGACAGGGCCGAGACACCAGCGCCCACGCTCTCCACCTCTATCCTTGGGTTAAAGCACAAGTGCATTTGGAGTGGAGAGCTGACCAATCCTGCGGGATAAGCACGTGCCTCTGGAGAGGAGAGGGGGTGGTTAGCGGGTGGCAGGAGTTGGCAAGTGGAAGCAGAATGAGAAGGGGGAAATTTGGGGATATCGGGAACCCCAAGGCTCCCCATGCTGTGTCCCCAGGCCCAGATCCCAGCTACCTTTACTGGGGGGACCACCAGCCCCAAGGTCAGGGTGTTTCTCCTTCCCCTCAAAGCTGCGGGGATGCCCCCAGCCCCAGGCCTCCTCCCCCCAGCACTGCCGTGGGGTTCCAGGAAATTTGATGAGAAGCAATTTCATCAAAAACAAATCCATCTTGGTGGCAATTTGGTCAAAATGATGAACTGGAAAAAATGCATCTCCTTGCACTGGGAGACAGTTATAAGAACGGTCACAGCAGCACTGTTCAGAATAGCCAAAAGCAGGAAATCATTCTTGGGATCACGGACAGAAGAACTGATAAAAAAAATTACAAGTAAATGAATGACAGCTATGCACACTGACATAGAGGAATCTTAGGAACATACGGCAGGAGAAAAGCAAGTCACAGAAGAAACTATACAGTTATGGTTCTATTCTTTAAAAAAAAGTTTTAAAAAAATGTACCCCAGACAACACATTAAGGAATCAAATACATGTGTTCACATTTTAAAGGAATGGTAAACAAACAAATCAGGAGAGAGGTCATGGGGCATAGGTGAGCGGGAGGGAGACAGAATTAGGAAGAAGCCCTTGGGACGGAGGTGTTCCGAGGACTGGGGAGGTCCCGCCTTTAGACTGGGTGGTGGGTACACGAGTGTTTGCTTTATTGCTGTGGTTTACACCTTACGCATATGCTATCAATAAAGTTTAAGTGTATTCAGTGCTAGCACACACAGTTTTAAGAAATGCAGTTCCACAAAAAAGAAAAGTCACCTTAGTCACTGAGATTTTCTACAGGAGTAGATGCATTTCTGTAACGCCCTCATCAGAGCCCCATTCCATCACATGCAGGTAGTGTGGCTTATTTCAATAATCCTCTGCTGTGGAATATTTAGTTTGGCCAATTTTTTCTTATTACATAAAGCAGAGGGTGGGAACATTTGTTTGAGAGTAAATTAGAAATAAAAAGGGAATAAAGCAGAAAACATAGAAGACCGTCTCCCTTAGGTCTAAAAACTGGACAAAAACACTTCAACGTTGCCAAAGCTTGTCATGGTATACCATGTTTGCCAGACGTGAAATTCAGTCCATTTGTCTTTCTGACCAAACACCTCCTCTACCAAGTGGGTTTGACCCAGTTCCCTGCTACCTGCTGCGCAGCTGCTGCTACCCTCAGGCTGCCTCCACCCCCAGAGAGCCAGTGGACACTTGCTCAGAGCAACCATCCCTGCTCCCGGCTGCCCCCCCACCAGGGCCACGACTGTCACTGTGGAGCAGACACCAAGGCCCTGCCTCTCTCTGCCCCCACCATCTGTGTGGCCCACCTCAGTCCTTGTCACTCCTCCGGGTCACCTGTGTGTGGCAGGTGAGCTCCAGCGCAATGTGCTCTCAGAGTGGCCCTCAGAGCTAAGGAGGGGCCCCAGGCATGCACGGAGTGGCCAGGGCAGAGGAGGTCAGGACACTCTTCCTCTCTTAACATGACCTGAGGCAGCACCTTGGTCATCGCCTTGAGGTAACCATCAACCAAAGACCCTGGTCTCCCCATCATGGAGATGGGCAGTTACATTTGCTCAAGCACAAAATACAGTCTAGAGACCGCAGAGCTGTAGTTTTCTTGTACGTCATTTTAGACATTTTATGGGCACCGACACGCATATAATAAATATGCACGTGTATTTTAATACAAATGAGATTGCCCTTACGCGTGTTTTTATACTTTACTTTTTCACTTATGTCTTGGAGCCCCTTTCGGGTGATCACACACAGATCAGGGGGTACACAGTAGGGGTTTACTGAGGGTCGCCGAGTTTCCAGGTGCTTTTTTTTCTCTCTCTATTAAGGACAATGCTGCAGTGGACATTCTCACCCATACACCTGTGTGTGCATGTGTGCGCATATGCCCCAGACAAATTTCTAGCAAGTGAGTTGAGGGATTCGAATGCAATTTATTTTCAGTTTCCCTGTGGTGCCTCAAGTTTATCCCTTTATCAGTCTTGTCCTACTGTTTTAGTTTGTCGAGGACTTTCTGCTAATTTCGCCGTCTAGCTTCTTATCGTGTAGAATTTGATCAGCTTGTTACATATGTCCTCATCGATGTTACAGATGAAAATCCTGAATAGGCCCAAACTGAGCACAGAATCATGGGACACACCACTAGAGACCTCCCTCTGCCTTATGAGAGCCGCTTTGAGGGGCCAGGAAGTCTGTGACTGTGCTGTGACCAGCACCACTGCAGCCCCTGCCCTCCGGGCCTCACACGCCTGCTGTGAACTCGGCACTACCTTCCTCCTCCTCGAAGCTGCCACCGTCTATTCCAGCCATGGCGCTCTCTCTCCAGACGGAGGAGAGGGACCCGGCTCCCCAGCCCCTCTTCCAGCTCATCCCTGGGGAACAGGTCAGGGCAGCTCAGTGCTCCTGGCCCCAGCAGCCCACCTGCTGCCCGGGCTGGTGTGAGGGCTGAGCAGCCACCCCTCTAGCAAGCCTGGACAGCAGAGGCTGTGCTTCCAGGCCTCTGGCTCAATGGCAGGAGGCTGAGCCAGCCAGGTCCCCGGCCCCCGCCTCCCCCTGAGGAAGCATGCGGTGGGAGACCTCCGGGCCGGCAAGTACAGACTCTGGTGTCAGGCAGACCGGGGTTAGATCTTACTCACCGTGGGGCCTTAAACAAGTGTCTGCCACTTTCTGAGCCTCAGTGTCCTCAGCATAAAACGGAGACAGTATAGGAACCTACCTCACAGGGATGCTGGGAGGATTCGGCCAATTCCTGCACGTAAAGCATTTCTCCTGAAGCCTGGTCCTGGGAGGGGCAGCAGTGGGGGGCGGGAGCAGAGCCTCAGGCAGGCATGGCGGACCAGAGGTCCTATTGGTTCAAGCATGCCAAGGGGCCGTACAGCCCCACTCACCAGCAGCACCATGGTTGCTTCTCAACAAATGAGCTATTATTATCGTTATTCCTAAGGGTTGTTGGGGGCAGGGAGGCCTTCTCGTCAGGTTGGAGTTTGCCCATGAATCAACTTTCGGGGGCGTGACCTCAGTAGATGCTGTGGCCTGACCCTTGGGGCACTTATCCCACCTGTAACCTATCTCTGATGGATGTTTCTGTGGCGTTTCCTTTAGTAGGAAAGACACAGGGGCCAGATTCAAAGTTCTAGTCTGAAGCTGGGCTTAGTTCCAAGAGGGGCAGGGGGTGCCCTGCCTCATGGGAAAAGGCTGATCAAAAGAGGGAGCCTGGGAGCTTAGCTGATAGGCTCTGGGGGAAGGAGGGAGGTGTGTTTTCTATGGACCCTTAGTCCCGAGGCGGGGAGAGGGTATTTTAGGTAACAAGCAGGACTTCGGTGACTTTACCTGAGGCCTGTTGCTTTTACATGCGTCATCCAGGTGCTTGTGCCACAGTATTGCATGAAAGCGGGAACCAGTCTGGAACTTGTAAACATTGCCTGATGGGTAGAAAACCACTGGTTAAGAGGAAGGTCACGTGGGAGGGTCTGCCTGTGACTGTGGCGTGAAGATAAACGTGGACCTGGGTAACTAAACTAGGGAAAGTCAGGAGCAGCCCCAGGCAAGCTCGGGGCACATAGAAGAGGAGGCTCCCGTGCTCCCCGCCTGTCTCTTTGGACCAGGGCTCTTAACCATTTTTCCGGCCATGGTGCCTTTGGCTCTGGTGAAGCCTGTGGACCCTTCTGAGAATTTTGTTTCAAACGCATAAAATAAAATACAAAGAAAATCAATAATACTGAAATACGGTTATCAAACTGCTAAAAAATAAATGAGTGATATCATTCTTTACGTGCTTATTTATTAATGCGCTAATGACAAGATCTGGGGGCAGGTCTGATACTGTACTGTAGCTGCAAAGGGCTGAACAAAAATGCTATTCTAAGATATCTGCAATAATACGTGATGTGAAAATATCCGTGGTTTCTCTTGAAGATAAAATCACAGGTATTGTGAACATTCTAGTTAGTAGTTTAATACTTATAATTAAAGGAATTAGAGGTCATGGGAAACAGAGATGTGATCTTTTTGCCACCCAAGTTCACAGACCTTTTGCATTCTATCCATGGACCTTGGCCACCTGCTGTGTCATATTTCCCTCTGCTTGGGGACAGTGCTTTCCTCTGGGCTCAGCCCCGAGAATGGCCTGTGGACCCCATGACCATACAGTCTTTAAGTCAAGCTGGTAGAGGTACAACCTTTACTTCCTAAAGAAACCACCTCTAATCTGGTCCCAGAGACTCACGGAAGAAACTCAAACAGTAACCAGCCTGAGGAAGCCCTATGACGTGTGCGTAGCCGTACGTGGTTCAATCATTCAGAAGCAGAGCAGAGGACTTGGCTCTCTCCACTCCCTGGGCAACTTGAGGCTCTCACTTCTTTAATTCCCAGCTAACAACATTCAAACCCTGACCCTCCACCAGCACCATCATCTGCATTACCCGGGAGTTTGTTAGAAATATAGAATCTTGGTCTCCACCCCAGATCCACTGAATCCAAATCTGAATTTTTACAAGATCCCCGGGCAATCGTACATGAACCCTGCATTAGAACATTCCTGTGAAGGTGTGAAGATGCTCAGGGTCTTTACACCTCCAGTGAACTTGCCTAGCTAGGAGACCCAGGAAATCCGGGGTTTTGTCACGTGACACAGGCTGCCAAGGAGGTCAGCATGGCCTATTCTGAACCTCACTGCAGAACCTCTCCTTCTCAGCATGGTCACGGGGCAAGAATAAAACCAGGAGGAACTGGGAGATGAATGGGCAAGTGAAAGTTGGAGTTTTATAGAAGGTTTCTTCTCTGATTTGGCCTTGGAGCAGGACACTGCCAGAGTCTCACGGCACAGGCAATGCCGGGGTGCCCTTGAAATCTCCCAACACCCAAGACTCCTCCAGCCGCATGGTCACTGCCTCATCCAGCGCTATGTTATTCATTCCAGGACCCTGAGGCTAGAGTTCCAGGGGTGATGGGCCCCAGTAGCCATAGGTGAAAAGGATTCCGGCTGCCACGTGCCATGCACACTGCTCAGTGGACACGCCCACCACGATCTAAGCAGCTTTTGTGGACCAACGAGGGACCCTGTGAACATCAGAACCTAAAGCAAAAGGAAAGCAGCAGCCTCAGAAGTGCCTACTGTTTCAAAACGCACATTTAGCAGCAGAAGAAAGAGGGTAGAGAGAAGCTGCAGGCGCCCAGCGCTGGCCTGCTGCCTACCTTTGTCGGGGTTATTCAGCTGGAAGATGTCCGGGTGCTCAGGGTCATCGGGCAGCTGCACCATCCAGCCCACGACGGAGACCTTTTTGCCAGGTGTGGATTTATACTGCAGAGGAACAACAGCACAAACGTGAGGCCCACACCCTCCGCTCCCCAAGGAAGGCCGACCTGGGCCAGGCAAGGTTCCTTCCACTCCCGCTGCCTTGCCCACCTCCACCCACCCCCCCCTGCACTTCGCACCAAACGAAGTGGCAGCACAGAGAGGCCTTTCGTGGAACGTACGTGTTTTCTGTCTGTGCCCCTCAAGGACTTGGCTCCGTAGTACAGGAGGGTGGATCCTGAGAGTATGACCCAGTACCTGGTCCACGAGGACAGCTGCAGAGGCAGAGTGACAATGTCACAAGTGGAGGGGCAGAGTCCCCCACTGCCTGACTAGAGACCCAGCTACATGGGTGGAAAGGGGGGGCCCCTCCTCCCGAGCAGTGCCAGCGCAGGCTTCATCTCGTCCCTGCCCGCCACCCCTCAGTGCCACTCCTCCCAGGGCCTAGAGGAGGGAGACTCCTCAGCAGCTCAGCAGCCCTAAGCCCTCCCTCTCCTTTACCCCAAGAGCCTTTCCTTTTCCCGTCTTGTTTAGGGCAGTGCCAAGGCATAACTTCTATGTATTCAGGTGACCTGAACCCAAGAATGTCCTGGGGAAAGAGTTTCAAAACACGGACAAGCTAAACCATAACTTAGAGGAACCATAATGTCTGCAATGGGGTGCTCTGGCTGCAAGCGGATGGCAGCACTTTGAAAGCATTTATGGCTAGAAGTGGGGACGCCTGGCAGGGCCAAGCTGCAGGTGTGGCTTTTGTTCCTCTAGGCATGAAGCAGACTGCTCTGCATCACGACCTACAAGGCTCCTCTTCACGCTGGCGGGGTGGGGGGGGCGCGCGTGGGGTTGGTGGGGGAACTGCGTCACCTCAGATGGCGAAAGCACTGGCTTTCAGACCTTTCTGATGACACCCACACGTGCATGTGTATGTTGAACTGAAAGAAGCTTCATGAAACAATATTCACTTTTACTATGTGTAAGAAACTCCGACATTTTCCAGTCTATTCTATCCTACTCAGAAATATGGGTCATGACCCCCTGGATTAACTTCATCGCTCACCAGCGGGCCAACCAGCATCTGGAAAATAGTGTCTCGCTCTGGCCTCAGAATGACTGGAGCCTGGACTCTGGGTACAGCAGGGCAGCAAGCAGGTCTGTACAGCAGACCAGATACAGGGCCTCATGTCGCAGGATGCTTTGTGACACTCTGGGTCCAAGGGACAGAGTGTGGCCCAGGGCTGGGATGAAGACTGTTCTCTTCACCCAAGAACCACCTAGCACCCGAAGACAGGGGAGCTTCTAGAGCAGCACCTGGGCTAGGGGCCTGGCATCTTCACACTGGGCGCCGGTAGGAGGGGGCATCTCCAAGTGGCTTTGTGGGCAGTGGACAGGGGCAAGCAGCAGCCAGGGCAGGACAGGAAGGCCAGAGCAGACACGGGCAGACGCTGCCTGGAGATGCAGCTCACAGGCGGGTTTGCAGGCAGCTTGCTGTGGATGCTCCGTAGAACAAAGAGGTCTTGGCAAGCGGCTGAGGGGTCACAGAGCCAGGGACATCTGGGTTCAGCACGTGGCGACCCGGTGGCTGGTGGGGGAGCCTGAGAGGCCTCCCGATTCCTTGTCCCTGTCCTTTCCACCACGCGTTTCATGATGCTGCCGAAGGGGGAGGGGATCTGCATCGGGATACCACCCAGGCCGTGCTGCCCGTCTCAGGCACAGTACCCACCCTGACTCCCAGGGTCTCCAGGCCTCCACCTGCCCTCAAGATAATCGCACAGCCCCATTCACCGCCTGCTCAATGTGTGCAGGGCCACACACGTGACAGTCCTGCCAAGTCCTCCAGGATGCAGGGACTATTTTATCTCAATTTACAGATGTGGAAACTGAGGCCCTGCCCACTCAGTGGCACAACTGGACTGGAACCCTGGTTGGCCGGTCTCTGGAGCCCATGCCCTCCCTGCTGCCCATGCCGCCTCTAGACAGATGTGCCTCTGCACTCACCGCGGGCTTCCGTCCTTCCTTGAGTAGAGTTTTCCTTCTCAGAGGCCCCTCCATGGTGGGGACCGCCGCCGAGCTCCCCAGCGTACAGATGCACGGGCCGGTGGGGCTGCGGGGGAGACCGCCAGTCAGACATCGCCTTGGAGGAGCTGAGGTCAGGCACCCCCTCACCCACTGGGGCCCACAGGTCCCCCACTGCCGGGTCCATAATGGCGCCACAGGACAAGGACTCAACAGTGCTGGCCAAGGCTGGGGAGAGGAGGGCCCCGAGGGCCCGGAAAACCTGAAGGACGGTGGCCTTGGGCTCACCCACAGCTGAGAACTTGCACCTCCCTCGTCTTTCTGAGTGCTGAGCGGCTCTATGCTTGGTGCCCACGTTCCCCGTCACCCAGGCCCCCAGCAGCAGCCGTACCCTATCCTGGCTTCCTCTCCACCTGCAGAGCTTGGGGCCTGCGCAGCACCTCCTCCTTCCTGTGTTGGCAGGAGCAGCGAGGAAGTGGGAGTGGAGGGGATGGAGTAAAAAGCGGGGCGGCGGCCCCAAACCCCCATGCCCTGCGCCTTTGCGGCAGGGCTCCTTTCTCGCCCTCTGCCATGGGGATTCGGGCGCCACCTACAGGTGAAGAGTCCAAGTGCAGCACAGCCCAGGCCGCTCTCCGAAGCACCAGCTTCAGCTCCCTGGATAGGCACCTCCCCGTAGACACCTCCCTCAACCCTGCATGAAAGCCGAGCAGCGCTCCCTCCGCATCCCAGTGGAAGGCATCACCATCCACTGGCTGAAGGAGCCAGAAGCCTGGGGGTTCTCTCCTCTCATCAGTTCACCCCCGAAACCTCATCAGTCCCAAGGACTCATTGATCCCGTGCCCCTAAATATGCCCATCTCAGCCACCCCACTCCCCTCACCTCAGGCCAGAACTTGGTCATCCTTTGAACGACTGCCCAATACTCTCGCCTGACCTCCCTGTGTCCACGCTTGCCTTCCTCCCACGCGCCCTGCACACCGTGGCCAGCATGACCTGGCCCTGCCAATACCCTCCCCCCACCCCCAGGCAACCCCTCCAGTGCCTTTGAGACCACCATCCTCTCCCCCTGCTGGACGTGGCTCTGGCCCACCTCTCTGGCCTCACCTGCCACCCTCTGCCCCGCTCATTTCTTACAACGAGGACTTTCCTTCACTCCCCAGATCACCCAGCTCTTCCTGCCTCACGGCCCATGGGCTGTCCCTTGGGCTGCAGGTACTCTTCTTACCCCTACACCTCTCTTCACTTTATTTGGCTGACTCCTATCACTCTTCCAGTCTTTTCTCCAGGGAGGCCTCCTCTCTGGACCATCGGCACCCGTGATTTTCTGTTCCGTTTCTGCTTTCCTGAAGCAACAGCCCTACAGGCTGAGGCAGAGGCTGAGTCCGTCTCGTTGGCAGCATCAAGCACAGTGCTTGGCACCCAGCAAGCACCATAGAGCTACTTGTCGAATAAATGATCACATGAATAAATGAATACCTGTAGACGCAGCTCCGGGTTCTGGGAGAATTCCGAACTGGAACCCGCCAGTTGGGCCCCAGCGTGGCATAGAGACGTCCCCTGCTTCAGAGGAAAAGGGTTGAGTTTTAGCAACAGCCTGGAAAGACCACTCCTGAAGGAGGCGAGGGCATCGCAGACTATGTGGTCATTAGCTCAGGAAGCCTCAGCCCCAACTCTTCCCCCAGCCTCCTCAGTCACACTGCAAGCACATCTGGGGCACAGCTGGAGCTGCTAGGTTAGTGAACACAACACCCCTGGAGCCTCCATCAGGGCGAGTCCCCAAGTCTCCAGGTAAGTGTTTCCTTAACCTTTTATCTGAATGTTCACCTTTCTTCCAGTGTCAAGGGGATGACTAAAATCCAGGCACACCCCTTATCCCAATGTGAGGTTGAGAGAAAATGCTGTGTAGCCCAAATATTCCATGGTCAATCCAATTAAAAGTGCACAGACACGGAATTGTGGGCCGTCTTGCATGTTGGCCCAGGGTGGGGATGGGGTGGGGCATGTGTAGCATCATTATTCACCCGGGCACTACTGAATTCCTCCGTTTGCTACGTCTTCTCCATCGGACAGTCTCTTTGCTGTCTCCATCTCAGTCTCAGATGGTTCCCTGCAAACCTGCTCTGTGACCTGCTGCAGAGTCCAAGAACTGGTGCTCCAGGACCTCTCCGTGGGCTGCCCATCAGGCCGCTCTCTCACCTGTAGTTCCCCAGCAGTGAGCCTTTCCAGGGGAAGACGTAGCTTCCAGGGTAGGTGGGGATCTTAACCTATTTGGGGGAAGGCTTCCGTCTTCCTCTCCTCTCTTCATCCTTTTCCTCTCTTGGCAGAATGACTTCCTGTGTCTACTTGATCCTTTACCTTCCCACCCCTGCAGCATGGTCTATCCCAGGGCTATAGCTTCCCATTGGCCAAACAATGATGCAACCCAATTTATAAAACCAGACAAGGTCCAGACGTCCTTTTCAAGTGCTCCCTCTGCTGTCCACTGCCAGTCCCAGGTTGCCACACGTTCCCCCGTGGCACTGGACACCTGGGGGGTGGTGTGGGGTCATCGTCATTCACTGCAGCAGGTGCATCGCGCCATCACCGAGCTCAGGTTCCTCCAAGGGGGGGCTGTGTTGCTCTCTGCCCCTCCATCCTCCGCTCAAGAAGGAACTGTTCTTGATGACCATCTTGGGTTTGCTGTCCAGAAGCCCACGTTCAGGGCTGGTGGGAGTCTGATGGTCCTCCAGGTCGACTGCCCTGGGACCCTGTCCCTTTCGTCCATCAGCCACTCCTCTTTAGGTGACAAAGAGCTGCAGCATGTGCTTGGTCCCCCAAGTCCCCGAACGTAATGGGTCTCAGCCCATCCCCCACCCAACCCTCGTGACAGATGATGGTCACAGGCCCACCCCACCCACACCACGAGCCGTGGCTCAGAGGTCCCGACACGCTCAACTCCCAGCCTACAGGCCACACTGCCTCCTCCCTCTCTTCACGGCTGGGCATGACACCATGGCACGTCACATCCCCATGCTTGGGCAGGCTGTGCAGAGCGCCAACAGACCGCCTCCAGGGACGCTCCCCTCCCCAGCCGTAACCGGGATCGCTCATGAGTCAGGGCAGGGTCTGACAGTGAGCATCTCTGTGCCCGGAGGATGTCTCCTCATTTGACCTGGATTCCTGCTCTGAGCCGCCGTCTGTTTGGAGTTGGAGGTGGAGCCTCCTCTGGCAGAGCTGGAGCCTCCGGCCCCTTCTCCACCTTTCTTCTCATGAATCTTTGCTCCTGGTGCCCCAGGACAATGTGTGACGGCAGTGGACCGTTCCACAGATGAGGCGATGTGGTTGGTGCTGCTACCATCTCTCCGTCATTCTCTCCGCTTCTTTGAGACACTGCGTGGCTGCACACTTAACAGACGTTTGGCAGGACTGACGTTTGTTGATGGAGAGCTTTAAGTCAGCGTCTTCCAACCAGTCTAGGCTTTTAAGCAGTCTTTCCTCACGCTCTTC